ATTCTGTACCCACTCATCTTATAATGATGTACACATCCATGATATAGCGCTAAAGTAAAAATAAAAGTTTATGAATAAAAATGTTATTTATCCCTTTATAACTTCTAAAAATTTAAGCCTGAAGCATAGCTTCAAGTAATAGATGCAGACAGTAAATAATGAAGATTGATTGCAAAATGTCTAATGAAGGCATGATGATGAGGCTTGGGAATTTTCACACAAACTGATAATGCACATGCAAAAATGGTAAGAGATAAGCAAGATAATTAATACTAAACAAACTGCATGGCGGATTTACATATTATTAAAACATAACAATAGTATTACAATTACATATGATGAATAACATGTACCATTGATGAGTTAAATTAATAAATACTAAGGAAATCTTGTGACAAGGACAATGAGATAAAAGGTTGTTTGTAGAACTTTAAATAAAGTTAAAAAAGTAAAATAAGTTGTTTTTTTTTCAATGCTATTAATACAAAAAAGTTGTTTGTAGTGCAATTAGTAAAGAAAAAAAAGGGACTGCACTTAAAAAAGAATCCCCTCCACAGAAACACCCCAATGGGTTTACTTAGAAAACAAGCACATTGAACCTTTGGCTACCTCCACACAACCATCCGAAAATTGTTTCACTTGCCCCGCAAGTTGAGCTACTTTTTCAAATGTGATAAATATAGACACTTTATCCTGTTCTACCATACATTTACCAAGAGCACTACCTCTAGCTGCACTCCCATATCAGTTGAGGATACATTGAGATCTTTCTCATTTTTAAATATGTCCTAGGCCCACTAACACTGCAGTGTCATGTTTTGAGATATGTAGAGAGGAATCTCTTAAATGATTGTAGCTTTAAAAGTGGCCAGGAGGTTATTCCATAATTGTGGTACTCTGTAGGAAATTGAGGATCGAGTCAATTTATTTGTACTGAGGTAGACAAAATAAATTGCTGGTACTGGGTCGGAGGTTATATGAGGTAGGAACAGCCGTGGAGTGCATTCTGCTCAGGTAGGGTGGGAGTTCCCAGAAAAGCTCTTAAACACAAGGCTGGAAAGATGAGGGATGCGTCTAGATTCCTGCGATAGCCAGTTTAGTTCTTTTAACATGTCACAATGGTCACAATGGTGGGTAATGCTATTACATTCTAGCACAAAGTGGTATAATGAGTTATACAATGTAGTAAATGTATAAGGATGTTGCAGGTACATACACTAAATCCACATAATCTCTGTCATCAACATTTGCTGTACAATCTGTTTCTTTACTGTGAGGATTAGGCAGCTTTTGTTCTGTACAGGGCACCTACTTTTGGATATAGGTTTGATGAGAGTTTACAAAATGTGGGGCATAAACATAGATTGGGGTCTAGCAACATACCTAAGAATTTGAAATTTTGACTGTGGTCAGTATTATTTTATTTTGTTCTGATGCATAGATGGGAATTTTGTAATTTACATAATTTAGGTACAGCAGACTCATATCTTTAGCTCCATTCCAATTAAAAAGACAGGGTAGGTTTGGATATGATTTGATATGGTTAACATCATTTGAACATGTTTGTATTGCTATGGTTTTATACCAGGTTGTAAACCTATCTCCATATGCTACCAACTTATCAATTATAAAATACTTTATCCAGCTCTTGTGTTGCTCAAAATTAGGAATCAGATTTGAATTGCGCTATATCTGCCACTCAATGGTCCCACTCTTCAGAAGGGGCAGCTTCATCAATCCACACACTTTGAACAGAATGGGAAGTGTATTTAGAAATAGTATATAGTGTCTACAAGGCTCAATTAAATATTCCCAAATACGTCTGCAATGTGTTGGCGCGGTGGAGCAAGTGAAGGCACAATGCTTCATATATGGTGGAGTTGTACCAGCATCCAACCCTTTCTGGCAACAGCTAGTCAACTAGTCAAATTTGACTCTGGAGTAGACCATTCCCCTAATCCACTGAGTGATCTACTTCTAGCTTTTCCCATTATATACCAATGAAACAATATTTAACAACCAATCAACATGTAGAATGCAGCCTTATTTGGTGAAAGCATACTGAAGAATCTAGACTGAAGTTGCAATGTTTTATACGTATGTATCAATGAATAGGAAGACTATCTTATAGACATAAACAAAACAATTTCAAGTGACATCGAATAGCTTTTCTTCAAAAAAATTGTGATTCATCCAGATTTTTTTTCTAATATACAAGTAATACATTTACTTGTGGTTTTATAGAATACTGTATTTCAGTTTCCTAATATGGCTAATTATTCTTACAAATATTTAGCAATAAAACCATGATTTAATGATCTTCTTGTGAAATGAATTACTGATTTCTTTCTTGCCTTTTTACATCTAATTGGTGGATACTTTTTAATTATAGTCAAGGCCCTTTTTATGCTGTCTAGAAAAAAGTAATTTTCTTTTAAAATTAAATGAGGACCTTTTAAGGAATGCGGTGGTAGACACAGATGTTAAATTTGATTTTATTTCTAATACTAAGATTGAAATTCTATGTTAATATGCATAAGTACAGTCTGGGGAGCCATAAAATACAGGAGTGTTTTCATTAGATGATGGCTCTGTACCTCTGGTAAGCAAGAAAGCCAATCCATCAAAGCTGCAGCAATGCTGCCTGTTCCGACCCAGATGAGAGAAATGGAAAGCATAATAAAAACACATTTTGGAAAATGAAGCAAGCAATATGCAATTCAACAACGTGTTCTATTTTAATCTCAAAAATATTTTTATGTAAAAAATGTATCATAAAAAAATACTGATTATATATATATGTAACTTTTATAAAACAATTATTTCCTAATAAAAATATTAATATCATTATTTACTAAACTGGAATGTTAAAGAAAGGGAACTTCAAATCTTAAGCTAAAATAGCTGCACTGGGAGTAAAGTGGGTAAAATATTGTTTCCAATCTGGCTATTTTGGCTTACAGTGTGTTAGTCAATACCCTACCTATGTATGTATATATTACAGAGTATGCACAATGTCTTTATTGGGTTTTTATGATAACAAAGAAATTGACAGTATATATATATATATATATATATATATATATACACTGCTCAAAAAAATAAAGGGAACACAAAAATAACACATCCTAGATCTGAATGAATTAAATATTCTTCTGAAATACTTTGTTCTTTACATAGTAGAATGTGCTGACAACAAAATCACACAAAAATTAAAAAAATGGAAATCACATTTTTCAACCCATGAAGGTCTAGATTTGGAGTCACGCTCAAAATTAAAGTGGAAAAACACACAACAGGCTGATCCAACTTTGATGTAATGTCCTTAAAACAAGTCAAAATGAGGCTCAGTAGTGTGTGTGGCCTCCACGTACCTCCCTACAACACCTGTGCATGCTTCTGATGAGGTGGCGGATGGTCTCCTGAGGGATCTCCTCCCAGACCTGGACTAAAGCATCTGCCAACTCCTGGACAGTCTGTGGTGAAACATGACGTTGGTGGATGGACCGAGACATGATGTCCCAGAGGTGCTCTACTGGATTTAGGTCTGGGGAACGGGCGGGCCAGTCCATAGCATCAATGCCTTCGTCTTGCAGGAACTGCTGACACTCTCCAGCCACATGAGGTCTTGCAATGTCTTGCATTAGGAGGAACCCAGGGCCAACCGCACCAGCATATGGTCTAACAAGGGGTCTGAGGATCTCATCTCGGTACCTAATGGCAGTCAGGCTACCTCTTGCGAGCACATGGAGGGCTGTGCGGCCCCCCAAAGAAATGCCACCCCACACCATTACTGACCCACTGCCAAACCGGTCATGCTGGAGAATGTTGCAGGCAGCAGAATGTTCTCCACGGCGTCTCCAGACTCTGTCATGTCTGTCACATGTGCTCAGTGGGAACCTGCTTTCATCTGTGAAGAGCACAGGGCGCCAGTGGCGAATTTGGCAATCTTAGTGTTCTCTGGCAAATACCAAACGTCCTGCACGGTGTTGGGCTGTAAGCACAACCCCTACCTGTGGACATCGGGCCTTCATACCACCCTCATGGAGTCTGTTTCTGATCGTTTGAGCAGACACATGCACATTTGTGGTCATTTTACACATTTGTGGTCATTTTGCAGGGCACAGGCAGTGCTGCTCCTGTTCCTCCTTGCACAGAGGTGGAGGTAGCGCTCCTGCTGCTGGGTTGTTGTCCTCCTACGGCCTCCTCCACATCTCCTGATGTACTGGCCTGACTCCTGGTAGTGCCTTCATGCTCTGGACACTACGCTGACAGACACAGCAAACCTTCTTGCCACAGCTCGCATTGATGTGCCATCCTGGATGAGCTGCACTACCTGAGCCACTTGTGTGGGTTGTAGACTCCATCTCATGCTACCACTAGAGTGAAAGCACCACCAGCATTCAAAAGTGACCAAAACATCAGCCAGGAAGCATAGGAACTGAGAAGTGGTCTGTGGTCACCACCTGCAGAACCACTTCTTTATTGGGGGTGTCTTGCTAATTGCCTATAATTTCCACCTGTTGTTTATCCCATTTGTCACTCAGTGTTGCTTCCTAAGTGGACAGTTTGATTTCACAGAAGTGTGATTGACTTGGAGTTACATTGTGTTGTTTAAGTGTTCCCTTTATTTTTTTGAGCAGTGTATGTTTCATAATATTTTAATCTCAATATACTTACTTATTCCTCTAATTCAGTTCCTTCTTCAACCTTTGTTTTTTATAGCTGCTACACAACCATACAAAGGGCAGACGATACACCATTCTTCTTTTACCAGTAACTCATTGAATTCTTAGAATTCTCTATAGAAGGCAAAGCACATTTACAAGAGTAAGCTTTGACGTTTTCATAGGCATCAATAGTCTTATTTTAGCTGACTCACTTTTTCTTCCCTAATTACCAACAGCCTCTGCTTGAGCCACAAATGCTCCACTCTGCTGTGTTGGAATGTAAGCATGTTTTTGTATTAATATGTGTGTGATTGTCGTTGGCGGCTGGTGATGACGGGTGCGGGTGCGTGTCTACGTGAGAGGAGGGGCGATGTAGTGGAAGGGCGCCCGGCGGTGTTTTTTTTGGCGGTTCGAGGGAGTGATTTTGCCGACGACATCCGACATCTGAGGCGAGACTATCGGGTTCTTTCTTCAGCCCGGCGAAAATTGAGTGCCATCCGGAGCTTTCGAGCAGAGACGCAGGGGGAGATCTGGCGAGGAGAGAAAATCTATAGTGGCTGCTAAGATAAGTCTGTTACATGCTACATGCTTTAGTGATATTATTAAAGACCAAGAGAGTAATAATGGCATTGAGAAAGTGAAAGAGAGAAGAGGGGTGAGGAGGATAGAAAACAGAAATTAGAAGAATACTGTTTTGTAAAACACCAGGAGAAGGAGAAAATGGAGGAAACGGAGGGGTGAATTTCCCCAAAGGCCAAAAGAAAAAGAGAAAAAAAAATAAGTGAAACAGGTTTATAAATATTGAGAATTGTGACTTAAAGTTTTGTTGCCTAAAAAAAAAAAAAAGAAAGAAAAGGGAAAGAAGGGAGATAAAAAAAAAAGTAAGAAAAGAGAGTTTCCTAAAAAAGAGGAAAAAAAAAAAGAAAGAAGAAAAAAGGAAAAAAAGAGAAAAGTGAAACAAGAGTCAAAGAGGGGGAAAGGAAAGGAAAGAAAAATAGAAAGAAAGAAAGAAAAAGGGAATAACAAAAGAAAAGAAGATTCTTTTTTTTTTTTAGAGAAACAAAATGGCAACTAGAAAACCACAGGAGGAAAGAAAAAAAAGAGAAAAAAAAGATAACATCACTGATAAAAGGTTATCAGGTTATTTCTCCCTTCCTCCAAACAAATCTCAATTGAATTTTGAAAATCAGGATAATTCCCCTCCCCCCAAACCTAACTCTAAACCTCTAACTGAAGAGACTCTAATTAGTTACCTGGATAAATTACAGGACAATATTAAAGAAGACATCCAAAAAGGATCATTAGATTTAAAACGAGATAAGAAATATGAAAGTACAATTGGAATCTATAGAGTCTAAGATGATTCAAACAGATCTTAAAAATGTACATATAGAGTTATTAATGACAGACTTGCAATCCAAGGTAGAATCATTAGAGGATAAAATAAACGACTTGGAAGATCGTTCCAGGAGAACTAATATAAGAATCCGTAATATTCCTGAACATATTAATGAATTAACATTGAAAAAAATTTTAATGGAATACTTTGAAACAGTACTATCTCAAGCTGGTTTACAAGACTCAGAATTAGAAAGATATCACAGGTTACCTAGACCCAGAAATGTGGCTGAATCATTACCGAGAGATGTAATTGTTAAATTTCAATCTTTCTATATTAAAAATCAAATAATGAGTTCTCTGAGAAGTAAGCCAGTTACAGAAGAGAGATTTAAGAACTTGAAGGTTTTCCCAGATCTATCTTTCCAAACAAGAGCATGGCGGAAAAGTTTTATTCAGGAACTAGCCATATTAAGATCTAAAGAAGTGAAATACATATGGGGATTCCCTAAATGCCTTAGGATCTTTTGGAAAGGAAAAACTGAAAAATTCATTACTCCGGATGCCTTGAGAAAATGGATGGAAGAGCAATCAATAGTGGACGCCATATAATTCGGGACAATAACTAAAAACCGAAGAGGATTCGCAGTTGTCTGGATGAAAAAGGACAATTAAAATAATGTTTTTGTTTTTTTTTTTGTTAGGGTGAGGCTGGGTCTTTAAGAATTAATAGGTACAATGAAAGCATGGAGAAAGATAAAGCCAAAGAATAAGTGTTAATAATAAGTGAATGGTGGGTTTATTATTAGTACACGTTTGAGAAGGATGGTAAGAGTTAGTACTTCAAAGGATAAAATAATCACGAAGAGTGGGTAAATCTATAAAATTGGATAGTTTAACACTGTAAAAGGATGTAATACTTACACACAGAATTAGAAATTTATAAAGGTTATGGAAATACTGGTAATTTGAATAAGACACGGAAGGAATTAATATAACGGATAGATCGATTCGTATACACAGTAGGCAGAGATAAACTGTTAACGATTATATATAAATATTCACTGTTGGATTTGGGATATATGGTTGGATTTAATACAGTAAAGAGATAGAGACTGTATATATTGTTTGAAAATACATAACTGGTTTGGTGATAATAACAATTTGAATAAGAAGCATGGAACGCACTTTATAAATAATTGCATGGATTTCACAAAATAAGGAATGTTTATAAATTCTTAAAGATATCTATATTGTTAAGGGTCGTAGGTCGTAAATAAGTGTTTTTTTTTTTTTTTTCTCTTTCTCCCTCTATTCTTAAAGTATTTATATGAGATAGTAGAGAGTTTTCTAAAATAAGGAGTATGATTTTCGGGCGCTCTCTTCTATATTGCCCCACCAAGTGTCATCTTTTTGTGTTGACACAAATACCGTGATATGGTAATCCATAATACCATCTCACGAGGACACAGATGGCCCTTGAGTGGTGAGTTGGGAGACAACCACTCGGGAGCCAGGCTGTGTTGGGCCAGACTGGGTGCTTTTCCCATAAGGCTTTTGTGGGTCTATGTACAATGGACCATCTGTGTTTTTTGTGAATGCATTGCAGCTCTCTTGGGGTCAGTGGTAACAATGTTTTTGTTTGAGTTAAAATGGTAAAGATGATTTCGGTTAATGTCCAGGGCCTTAATTCTCCAATTAAGAAATCTCTAATATATGATTATATGTTGAGAAATAAAGTGGAAGTGGGGTTTTTTCAAGAAACTCACTGGTCAGATATGGATAATCAAAGCTGGGGTGGTTTAAAATTTCCCACAGTGATATATGCTTCATTAAGTGGAAAAAAAAAAAGAGGAGTAGCAATAGTTTTTTCCCACACATTAAAAGTGGACATAATACATCAAATCAAAGATAAGGAAGGCAGATATGTAATAGTCTGCTGTAAATTAAATGAGATACCATATACATTGACTAATATATATCTTCCCAATGATTTTCCTGCTCCAACCTTAAAAAAGGTTTTAAGTTTAATAGAATCTATTAAAATAGGCACATGTTTGGTGGCTGGGGACTTTAATAGTGTATTGGATCCGATACTAGATAAGAAGACAATCTCAACATTATTACATCAAAAAAGAACAGATAAACTTGCAAAATCTATTAACAGAATTATGATTAATTTTGACTATTTTGATCTTTGGAGAACGACCAATCCTGACTCATTGGAATATACGTTTTTTTCACGTGTACATCTTTCGTATTCTCGAATAGATATGGTTTGGGGCAATATGACAGCATTGACGAATATTAAATATTTTAAGATACTTGATAATACCTGGTCAGATCAATGTATTAATATGTGGGAGATGAAGAATCAATGGACCAGGATTGGTCGTGATACCTGACCTGGCGTATGGAGGATAATCTGTTAAAATCTAAGATCAATCTTGATATATTGGAAAAACAAATAGTAACCTTTTTTCTTGAAAATGACCCTAGTGACACCTCATATATAAACAATTGGTGTGCCTTTAAATCCACAATGAGAGGTAATATAATAAGTATACAAACAAGATATAAAGTAGAAAATAATAGAATTTTTCTAGGATTACAAGCAGAATTAAAAAAGATCGCAAGTAAGAATAAGCAGTCTCCTTCTAAAGAAAATGCAGATGAACTGAAAAGTATTCAGAACAGAATTAATAATTTTTTGATAGCAAAGAATGCAAAACTAATGAATAAACTTAAAGCAAATTATTATTATAGGGGGAACCGAGCAGATAGAAACATGACAAAAAAATTAAGAGATAAAATTGGATCCAGCAAAATAGTAAAGATAGTGGATGAAGATGGGGTATATTTAGACCAAAAAAAAATAGGTGAGAGATTTAATAAGTACTATGAGGCTTTGTACAATCTAACTCCCCGATAATAAATGAAGAGGATTATCTGAGTAAAACCAACACACCCAAATTTACATTAGAACAAAGTAATAAGCTAAATACTTTAATTACAGTCCAAGAAGTAGAGGCAGTAATAAACAAATTAAAATCAGACAAGACGCCAGGTCCAGATGGTTTTGCAAATATATTTTACAAATCTTTTAAAAACATTATAGTTCCCCATCTAACAAATATGTTTAACGAAATCGTATCAGTTGGCAAATTTCCTACCGAAATGCTGAGTGCAAATATTCTTCCAATTTTAAAAGACAATAAAGACCTTTTAAAGGTGGAGAATTATAGACTCATCTCTTTAATTAACACTGATGTTAAAATCTTTTCATCAGTTTTGGCTAATAGACTAAGGGGACTAATGGATTATATAATCAAAAATGATCAAATTGGTTTTGTACAAGGCAGAGATTCGGTAGATAATTCTAGAAGATTATTGGATTTGATAGATGCATCTAGAAGAAATAATAAATCTCTATTTGTATTGGCTGTAGATGCCGAGAAAGCTTCCGACAGGGTCGGTTGGGACTTCTTAAGGCAAACTATGGAAAAATTTGGAATCCAGGGCAGGATGCTTAATGCTATTTTAGCTCTATATGAAGGCCCAAAAGCAAGAACAGTGGCCCCAAATATATGTTCAGAGTGGTTTACACTAAAAAATGGCACGAGACAGGGCTGTCCTTTGTCGCCTATTTTATATATTATGACAATGGAGATTCTAGCTATTAATATAAGAGATAACTCTCGAATTAAAGGATTTAGATACAGAGAGAAAGAATTTAAATTGAATCTATATGCGGATGACTTGATTTTGACCCTAACCGACCCTGTCGAATCGCTTAGTGCCCTAATGGAAGAGATAGATAAATACAGTCTGATTTCAAATTATAAAATAAATGCAACGAAATCTACTTTTTTAGTTATAAATATTTCTAGAGACTCTATCCAACAGATTAAAGATAAATATAAATTTAACTGTGATAAAAACAGGTTATCTTATCTAGGTATAGTGATTTCTGATGACTTAAAAGATACGATGCAAACAAATTTTTTGAAAATATTTAGATCGACACATGAGTCATTAAAAAGATGGAGACAAATTGAATTATCCTGGTGGGGTAGAATTAATTTGGTTAACTCGTACTTACTCCCTAAATGGTCTTATCTATTTCGCATGATCCCTTTGAGAATGCCACAACCATGGTTATCTATGATACAACGAGATATAAACAATTTTATATGGAAAGGAAAAAGGCCGAGGATGAATAAGCA